AGAGGAAGGGACAATAATTTTAACAATGCTGTGACTATGGATGTTTGTGTGCATATATATGTCACGAATGTTACTTTACAGTAGGTGCTTATGCGTGACCTACAGAAAGATTTGTTATGCTGTGATTTACGTGCAATTTAAGGGATAATCAAAGATGATTTTGGCTGTACACAATTTTTTTATTTAAATGCCTTCATTTTTAACCTAATCCCAGTATAAGATATGATGTTACTGTACTGTCATCAGAGATTTCATTTGAAAAATATGTCCTTCTGCCCTGCTTTTGCATGCTTTATTGAAAAAAGTTCATGTTTTAGTAAAACTCCTTAGAAAAGAGAAGAAAGAAGAAAAGCTGTCTGCTGATGGGATCAGACCATTAAAAAGATTCAGTCCCTGAAGAATGTGGCTCCATCTCTAAGTCCTGCCAGATCTAGACAGATTTCTCTGTGTGCTGGGGGCAAGGTGGAGAGGAGGGGAAACGGAGGCAAAGAGATCTTTAGCCAAAATTTCCTCAAATTTTTTATAGTATTTGAGTGTTTCGGTTTACCTGGGTATCATGAGAGAGATCACCCCAGCTAGCTCAAGGCCCTTGTCAGTCCTAAGACCTGGGATTCTGGGGCCAGTGGTACATTCTTTTACCTCATCTCTAAGAGGTCTCTTGGAATACCTTGGTTTACTGCAGTTGTTCCCTGTAGAAGTCACACAGCAGGTGCGTTGATTTGAGACACTGAAGGCTGAAAAGCAGAGCAGCAGCTGCACTAATATTCTTTTCCTTCTCTTTCAGGTGAAGAGGTCCAGCAGCTGTGCCTGGAAATCATGGTGACCCAGGCGCAGTCCTCCCAGAACGCGGCTGCGCTGTTGGGACTGTGGGTGACGCCCCCGCTGCTCCACGGTCTCAGCGTATGTAGTAACTAAGGGTGTCGGGCAACAGGAGGATACGGTTTTCCGGAGGGAGATTAACATGCATTTGGGGTGTGTTCTCAAAGTAAAGCGTGGATGAGTGGGATTTTATAAAAACTGAGGGTGGCCAACTGAGTGAAAAATTGTGTGATTCAGACTCTGCCGTAACTGTCACCATTTATGCTATCAGCTACCATGTATTACAGAAAGGGAGCAGGCTGACCAGAGTTATTCAAGTTCCTTTCTCACATCCATACAGCTAGCAAGTCGTTGAACCTAGGTTTACTTGTTTATATGATGCACATAGTCATTCACTAGGTAGTAAGAAAAAGACAAATCCACATGTACAGGACATCTGGTCCCCCGCAATGAAGGTGAGCCTTGAGGGCTCAGTAGGACTTGGTTAGGCATCCAGTTAGAGGCACCAGGGATGTAGGTGCAACGAGTAGAACATCTCTGTAAGGTGTTCAGCTTGAGCACAGAGCTGAGGAAGAAATGATTTGCCTGGTGTTTGGTAATGACCCGGTGTCAGGGCTAATAGTGCTTGTTTTCAGTCAGACTCCTTTCTTCGTTCCCAAAGGATGGAGGGAGCATCCCCTGCTTCCTTCGAGGTTTACCAATAGATTCCAAGTTCAATGGCCTCATCTTTGTTATTCTTCTATTCTAGGAGGCTTTAAGTCTGTGAGGATACTTCAAACCCTTCTTCCTTATTTCCTCAAACTTTTGGCTTCAGTCTCTTCACTTTTTTTCTTTTTTCTTTTTTAAAATATATTTGTATTGATTTCAGAGAGGAAGGGAGAGAGAAACATAAATGATGAGAGAGAATCATTGATTAGCTGCCTCCTGCACGCCCCTGCATTGGGGATCAAGCCTGCAACCCAGGCATGTGCCCAGACCAGGAATCAAATCATCACCTCCTGGTTCATAGGTCAATGCTCAACCACCAAGCCACACTGGCCAGGCCTCTTCACTTTTTTCTTTTACGTTTTCCCGCATCTCCTAATAATTTTGAATAGCAGGTCAGTGTTCTCGATGCCTGCCTCCTGTCTGTCAGCCTTCACCATTACCTGTCTGCTCCAAGCAGCTCCCACCCGCTGCCGCTTACTGAGCACTTGCTAAGCGCCTGCCACATGTAAGCACTCAGTGAGTACTTTCAGGCATCAGGTTAAGTCTCTTCAATCCTGACAGGCTGCCTTTTTTTTTTAACTTTATTGAGTTAAAGTTTATATTCCATAAAATATGACCATTTTAAGTGTAATTTGAGTTTTAGTCCACTTATTTTCATCCATCTCCGAGAATACTTCCATCACCGCCAGAAGTTCCATTGTGCCTACTTGTAGTCACTCTCCACTCCCAGCCTCAGACCCGGGCTACCACTGATCTCTTCCTTGTCTCTGTCATTTTGCCTTTTTAAAAGAACTTTCCTATAAATTGAAGTGTCATATAAAGTTTAGAAAATCTTTAGAATGGAATCATACAATAGGAAGTCTTCTGTGTGTGGCTCATTTTATTTCTGCACAGTAGACTTTATTATTTCCATTTTACAGGTTGATAAACTGAGGCAAACGAAGGTTAAGCAAAGTCCACATATCCAACACATGGAAGAGAGTCGGGTGACCCCAAAGCCCATGTCTTAAACACTATACTATTTAGCTCCTTCCTTTTGAATCGGGTGTAACTCTCCTAGCCTCACCTGTGTTATTGACCTCAGAAATTTTCTAGGTTTTAGTCTTCTTTCCATTTCTCTTTCAGATCTCCTACTCTTTTGCATTTGTCCTTGATTATGGGCCTTTCATATTATCTTTGTTAATTAATGAATTAAATTTGTGAATTCGTTTTCTTAATTACATACCTTCTCATTAAAAAATGGTCTGAAATGGCATATTCTTTAAAGTGAGCTCTTCAGATAACTCATGCAACAACATTACTCTTTTTAGAAATTTACTGATTTTTGTCAGACTTTCCTTTTTTATATCACTTCTTTTAGACTTACTGCCCCTTTAGTATCATACTTCTGTTTCTGAGGATTTTTTTAAATATATTTTTATTGATTTCAGAGAGGAAGGGTGTGGGAGAGAGAATCATTGATCGGCTGCCTCCTGCATGCCCCACACGGGATCAAGCCTGCAACCCAGGCATGTGTCCTGAGCAGGAATTGAACCATGATCTCCAGGTTCATAAGTCGATGCTCAACCACTGAGCCATACCGGCCGGGCTGTTTCTGAGACTTTTTGAAGCCTGCTCTCTATAAGTCTGTGAGACTTCACTAACTGTGCCCCTTCTTAGCTCTCAGATGCTGGGGTTGCTCTCACATGCTCAGCTGCTGTTCTTTGGTCAGCAATGGACTCCTCGTGCCAGTTCCTCTCATGACTGTGTCACTGCGCTTCCTCAGAGGACAGAATCGGGACTGCCAGGTCCTGGGTTTAGTTGATTTACAGTGGGCGAGCCTTTCCTCTTCCAGAGCTCTTCTTGACAGAAAATGTGGCTTTTTAAGACTGAACAGCAGTGACTATGATGCAGCATTTTCTTCCCCTCACTGAAAAGATCCAAGGTTTAAGCGAGTCGTTCCCAGATGGGTTGGCAGGTACCATGCATACACGACTCAGGCTGGATCAGAAGTCCCTGCAGCAGCAAAATTACACGCATTGGTGGCCTGTCGGACCAGGAGGCTGTGGGAAACTCAGGGGCAGAAAGCAACCTGCACCTTTTCTCTCGCAGCTGCTCTCAAGCACAGCGATGACCCGGGCGTGTAAGCCTTGTAAACCCAGGCCTGCCTGTTTACATCTGACCTTGGCTGTTTTCCTTCCAGCTGAATATCAAGAAATACCTCCTGGTGTCTGCACCGCTGTGGGTCAAGCACGTCTCCGGTGAACAGATCCTGGGCTTCGTTGAAAACTTAATGGTGGCCGTTTTCAAAGCCGCGTCCCCGCTTGCCAATCCGGAGTTACGCCCGAGTGCCTTGCAGGGCCTGAGCCAGGCCATGAAGCTGCCCAGCCCTGCCCACCACCTCTGGAGCTTGCTCTGCCAGGCCACTGGGAACATTTTTGACCTTCTGCCAAATAAGATTCGGGTGAGGAACAACAATATTTACATTCCTGACCATTTGTGTTTGGGATTTTTTAAAGCCTTTTTGGCACAGCAGGGAGGTGTACGTTTTAAGAACGTGGTGGGAAGGCTGGCAAGAAGGAACCACGTTCTTCACTAAGAATGTGTTTGCTTCCAAGATCTAAACTGAGGTTGAATGTTTAGAACCAAAGTCTTAAGCAAGCTCAGAAGCTGGCTCACCAGGAAGTTCGCTCCTCGGCCTCTTACCAACGCCTGTGGAGGCTGAGGAAGCTCAGTTGGGCACGTCGTTCACTGCTATTCGTATGAAGTGACTTCGTGCCAGCCTTTCCCCTCCCCCAGCGGATCCCTGAATTGTGGTTTTTACAAAGATGTTAAAATTCCTTTCGGAATGATGGGTCCTGATGAGGAGATAAAAGAAAGAACAGGCAAACAAACACATAGAATAACAAGAAAGATGTTTTTTAAATGAGAAACAAATGACCATATGTTTTGGTTTGGTTATTCGTGGAGACAAGCAAATCTAATAATTTGTTGGAACATTAGGAATATACTTGCCTTACATTGTATTTTGACACGTTTGACCTTTGTTCTTTACCAGAGGAATGACTTAGAGCTGTACATCGGTGTAGCAAAATGCCTCTCAGAGATGACGGATGATGAAGCCAATCGGCGTGCCCCGGTTACCGAGGTAATAACATATCCATGTACTTTTTCATTATTGAGGCTAGTTTTGTTTCCTATGTGTTACTATTAATTTCAGAAAACTATTTCTGTTTCACTCTGGGTCTTGTGTCCCGTCTACTCTGTGTGGTTGGTTCTTAACAAATGTATGTAATAACGTTTTCACCTAATTCATCCCACTTTATCAAGAACACTTCAGTGCAGCAGTCGCCAACCTTTCCGACCTCATGAACCACCAGTTGCTTTAGTGTCACCTGTGGGCAAAATTAAGTACAGTGCAGTGCCTTCAATACAAAAATCACAGGGATGGGAATATTCTCACCAAAGAACTGTCTCGTGCATGGAAGGTGTTAAAAAAAATATAGTTCTGGCCTCACATGAATTTTTTTCCACCTGCTACTTACTTAAAAGTAATAATAACAAGCCCATTGCAGCTTAACATAAGTAAGAAAAAAGTATTTTCCAGAAAATCAAAAAAACTCGTGAGGAAAGTGGCATTACTTCACATTCCCGCAAGGCTCCTCCTTGTCTGCGGGGGCCTCGTGGCGGCTGCCCTTCCAGTCTCTTGAGACATTATTTTGGTGAAGTATGTGAAGAAAACCCACCTCACACAGATATGTAGGAGGAAGGGGAAGAGTGTGTTAACAGGCTTTTCAGATAATTATGGATCTCTCTTTGTGCGCCAAAACATAAAAGTAGTGGTTTCTTGTAGGTTAGTTGCAGTGTGGAACCTGCTCATGGTGAACTTCCCACTAGGTTACGTTAGAAACCATTTGTGCTCTGCGTCTCTCACCAGTGCATGATTTTGTAATATCAGACATTGGCCATTTGAAAATCTTCCAAATGTTGGTACATTCATTATATAATATCAAAACATCGTATTGGTTAATATCACCAGTCTTTCATGTATTGGGAAACTGCCAAACTCATATAAGCAGATACAAATTTTCCAAAAATCTAATTTTTGCTTGAAAGTTCCGATTTTATTATTGGCAGTGAATTCCGTCAAGTGTTTTCCATGAAGTGACGGTCTCACGTCCTTCACTTTTAAAAAGGCTGTCTGTCAAACACGCAGTTTGAATAGCCATAAGTGGTTACGCAAGGAGAGGCAGTATAAAAAAATGCTTACGTGAATGGACTTTATGTAAAACTTCAAAACTTACGTAAATGAAGTTTATCACGGGAAGAGTGGCCATTTCAGCTTACAACTCAATGTTGAAGTGTTTTTCCTTGGGACAACCATTGTACTTCGGTATTCAGCGGAAGTCCCTTATGGATACTTCCCACTTTGTCCCACAGAATATTAAAAAGATGTGTACTCAAGGGCAAATGTTTAATGAAATTAATAATTTATATTGTTTATAGCAGTGATTTTCAACCGGTGTGCCACAAGAATTTCTAAAACATACAATACCTGACTATTTAGTCAGGGGCACTGACCTTTTTTCCCTTAGATTGTCCAATAAAAAATGACAACAGCCAACACAACAATAGCCATTGGTATGAATGAATCAAAATTATACCTATTTTTTGGTCAGATCGGCAAAAAATACAATATATTTTTTGATGTGCTGTGAAATTTTAGCAATTAGTTTATATGTGCCATGAGAAGAAAAAGGTTGAAATCACTGGTTTACAGGAATGTTTTAAGTGAAACTAGATTTTTTCAAAAATTTCAAGTGGGGATGAAAGATACAATGGACATTACTACAGTTTGATGCTATTATGAAAATAGTTTGACCTCACAGACACTGTTAAAGAGTCTTGGGGTCCCCCAGAGGTCTGTGTACCATACTTCGTGGACTGTCAAAATAACACTTGTCGCCAAAACCGGTTTGGCTCAGTGGATAGAGCGTTGGCCTGCGGACTGAAAGGTCCCAGGTTCGATTCCAGTCAAGGGCATGTACCTGGGTTGCGGGCACATCCCCAGTAGGAGATGTGCAGGAGGCAGCTGATCGATGTTTCTCTCTCATCGATATTTCTAACTCTCTATCTCTCTCCCTTCCTCTCTGTAAAAAATCAATAAAGAAATATTTAAAAAAAAAATAAAATAAAATAACACTTGTCATGTGCTTAGAATGGCGCCTAGCACCTGACAAGTACTGTCATTATTATTATTTGTGTATTCTTACTAAATGTCATCACTGATTGACCCCGAAGTCATTGATGGTTTTTGTGAGAAGCAGGAGGTGACACTACAGCACCATCTGCATATACATTCTAGTGGAGCGCACAGGGAAATGGGTCACACGCTGCAGGAAATGAACAGTTTTAGCATTTGGAATAGTGACTTCACACTCACCCTTTCTGTGTTGCCCTTGCGCTGAGGTTCTATAACAACTACAGTTAATTGACTAGTAACTGAACAATTGGCTTTTTTGCAGAGCAGCCTAGAAAAGGCTGCCTTTGTCAGGCTGTACTTGGTCTCGCAAGGACGGCTCCCCTTGATGGGCGTGAATGACATGCTCAGTGCGGTTGCTCAGCACCGGGAGAAAGACGCACTGGCCTGGGTGATCCTGCACAGCTTGTACCACGTGCGGATCGTGAGCCACGCCAACACAGGTGAGGCCGGCGGGGCGAGCATCAGAACAGGAAGAAACCATCTCTTTAGTTGTCATTGTTTCCCCAACTTGAAAGCTGGTTTAGTGCTTGACATAGGTGAGGCTTTGTCACCCCGAATGAGGAGCACGTTGGCTGGAAGTGAGCAGGTACAGCTCTTAACATCCACTCTTTAGCGATGAGAACGAATTCTGTTGAGGATTTGTATCTCGTTTTTGGCTCAAGGTATAAAGTTTATAAGGTAGATTCTGTCAGACAGGATATCCATTGATGATGCCTGATGTTTTCATGAAAATGGCTTTTGGGTAGTCATTTAACAAACAAAAAACAGCAACAATGAACTTGAATAGTTATTCTATAGAAGAACTTCTCAGGGGTGAGAAGAATAAAATCTGGATGACCTCACTACATCCTCAAGCCAGGAGGTCCAGGCCTGAGCTCTGCTAATGAGTCCTATGGCGCAACTTTTAAACTGTTTACACATTTAGGCTTTAGGAGGCATCTGAAAAGGGAACTCCTTTATTTCCCCTCCCACGCCTTCGGTCAGAGGCTCAAAATTTCTCGAGTCTACATTCAAGCTCTGAGTGGTATCTGGCTTAAACGGGTTAGAAATGGCCGGGAAGCCCTGTGACCCTGGGCCAGTTGCTTATGCTTCTGTGACCCATTTTCCCCATCTCTTGTGTCTTTAAAGTTTTGAGAGAAAACTGGCAAACGTCTTTGTAATACTCTTCAAAATTGGATTGGAAATGTTGATTCCTCTTCCTCTTTGGCAATTGAGATGGTTGTCTCATATCTGTGTGTGTGCTTCACCAATGAAAAATGAACTTATGATGAGAAACTAGATTTCTTTACTCAAAATTAAAACTATATTTATCAGGGGGGAAAAATCCAGTAGGTGTTCCCAATTAAGCGTGAAGATAATTTAAGCAAATTGAAATAAATTTGAGATTGCCCTTGGTTCTAACCTTCAAGCTTAATCCCTATATTTTTCTTATTCACTAGATTTTTGAAAACCTTTCAACGTAGTCTTTACTATAATGGGAAACCTCATTTTTTTAAAAAAAAATGAAAAAATCAATATGTTGTTTATTCTCTAATTATCCTATCACATCTGGTTTTTACTTTTTCTGTCTTTAGGATAGGTTTCTGTGCGATTTTGGCATTCAATATTACTGGCTAGCTGGGTGCCAAATTTCTCATAGTGTGTTTAATGTTGAGAAAGAACTCCAATAAATGCCTTTTACCACTAGTGGGTGGGTAGGCTTGAAGAATAAATTAGCCATTGAAAATGAAGACCGAAATACGGTCATCTCTGAATACTGTCAACTCTCACAGGGATCGCAAGTCTCGGGTGTGGTAAGAGAACTGGAAACTATTTCATGACATCCTCACCAGGTGTTCTGCTTGAGCTATGATAGTTATTACTGTTCTGTTTTGCATTTCCAAGGGAAAACCCTGATCAGGTAAGAAAATGTTTTTGTCTTTTCAGGTGTGTTGAAGAGAATGGAATGGCTCTTGGACCTGATGGGCTATATCAGAAATATAGCTTACCAGTCAACCTCTGTTCAGAACGTGGCTCTTGATGAGGTACAATTCAGAGGAGTAATTTGGAGCTTTCTTAAAACATAAAAATTATATTTGCTCTCCCAAAAAGAGGAATATTTGGCTGCCTGTGGCTTTCTTTTCCTCCTTCCTTTTATTCTTGGGAAACAACAGCGGTGATAACTCTGATGTCACAAGAAATGCATGTTCTTACCAGGTTCTTGTGGACACCTAGTTACACCTTGAAAAAGATGTCAAAAGAGTCCGTTCCTTGACAGGCCGCACACAGAGGACACTAGCTGGAGGGCAAACCCAGGGTCTATGTACTTGGGCTTGACCCCAAGAGGAGGTGGGGTCTAGGGCTCCGGCCTCCATGCTGGCCCAAGAGGCTTCACACGCCTGGTTTGAAGAGATTCCTGGAGTGTGTGCATGTTATCTGTGTGCACAACGCTACCTCTGGGCATGTGTGCATATAGTAGAGAGTTTTCAGCACAGCTTCAAGTTGGCTGACCCAAAAAAGGTTAAGAATCACTGGTATTGGGTGAATTAAAAAAGAAAGATTAGTAAATGAAATGATGACATCACTTTCCCCCCTTGCCTCATTTTCTTGACTGCTCTCTGTGCAATTTTGAGGTGTACAGTGTTTTTTTTCTATAGGCATGTCTCATTCACATGTTTCCTTTGTGAGTAAAAATGTGCACAGCCTGGAATGTTGTTTGAAATTCTGCCCCACTTTTCTGAGGAGTTGCGTGTGTTTTTAAATTTTTAGTTAGTGAGAGTGGGAATTTTAAGAGATTGAGCTCTTTTTTAACTTTTTTTTAACAAGCATAACCTGTCCTCTCTGTCTTTTGATCTTCTGAGTTTCTATTAGCCTTCTCCATTTTCTTATGAAAATCTTTTAAAACCTAGGAAATACAGATAAGCAGAAAGAAGAGTAATTTAAATCACCGTAATCCAACATCTGAGAGGTAGCCCCTGTTACCACCATTTCTACAATTGTCTAGATTAGTCTAAAATCTAAAGGGACAGATTCTAGACACACTTGGTAGAATGCATGAGGAGAGTCATTTGTTATTGTTAAAAAATAGAACAAAACTGTCAATATTTTTAAAATCAGTTTCAGCCACATAACAATAAATCTAAATATACTTTTCCATAGCACTCTTAATTAATTTTTAATCTCTTAGAAAACAACAAACCAGATGAGTATTTGAAGCTCAGTACGATTAGGAATTTAATTATGTTTCTCCTGAAATGTTAGAGCACTAATAATCAAACTGATGGTCCCTCTGTATTCCCAAAAGAGAACCCCAAAAACCTACCAAAGCCCTACAGCAAGCATGTCAAACTCAAAGGCTAACACGGGCCAAATAAATGAGGCACATGGCCCGCGGGCCATGAGTCTGACATGCTTGCCCTACAGAGTCTCTTGATTAAGTTTGGAAACGGAGTTTGTTCTTCAGTTCAGTCCTCTTCTGGGGCAGGGGTGGGACAGGAGGGAGGAGGGGAGGGGAATAGAGCATTGCATCATTAGAGGGTTGTGTATGTGAACATGTGTTACTCTGAGTGGTTAAAACATGTGACTAGCCTTGTGTCTATTTCTATTATAGGCTCTGGACTTCTTGTTGCTGATCTTTGCAGCGGCGGTGGTTGCGTGGGCCGACCATGCTGCCCCGCTCCTCCTCGGCCTCAGTGCCAGTTGGTTGCCATGGCATCAAGAACAGGGCCCGGCCGGGCCAGCATCCAGCTTCCTTGGCAGGAGCCCAATGCATAGGGTCACTCTGCAGGCGGCCCTCGCTCTCCTTCCCAGTAGCATGCTGCTGCTGCTGCAGAAGGAGCCGTGGAGGGAGCAGGCCCAGAAGGTGAGGGCCGCTGCCTGCTGTCGGGGCAGGTGGCCATTTCCTCCTTGGCAGTTCCTGCTGTAGATGTGAAGTGGGAGGTCAGCGAAACTGGACTCACCCCACAGGCCTTCATGCTTGGCCCCACATCCCAGCCAGATGCAGAGCCTCAGAGATGGGGGCTAATAGTGACAACAGAACCAACTTGCTCGCGGGGGGGGGGGCGAGGGGGGGGGGGAGGGGGGAGTGAAGGGGGGCGGGTGGAAAGTAACGCTTCTGCCTGCGTTCATTTATCAAAGACACATGTGTTCTTGATCTTGGACAAAACGATGAGTAAGCTCTGAGAGCTCAGAAGGTGACAAGTTCAAGATTGCAAGATGGAATGATAAAGAGGGAAAGGAGTGTAGAGTGGTGATGAACAAGGGCGGGGTGATCAGCAGTGCCTGGGGGCGGGTGTCAGGGAATCTGAGGGGAAACATGAGCCTGGAGCACCCATCATCTCATAGCCCAGCTCAGCCGCCTTCCAGGCGCCGCCGTGCTCCGGGCTGTGCTGGAGGCTGTGGGGACATGTGTGGGATGTGAGGTGATCGCCCCTGCCCTCAGGAAGTCCCTTACGCTTTTGATATTAAGATTCACCAGCTTACTCGCCAAGCAGTGACAGTACTGTGCTTCCCAGAATTCTCGTTACGTGGCCTTGACCTGTCTTTATTTTAATACAGTTGTTTTGGAGGATTCTATTCTGAATCCCATGTAATCAAAATTGGATTTTTTTTAGGCTGAAAGCTTAAAACTAACTTTATGTGGCTTATTCTTAAAACCTGACTACTAATCTTTAAAAATATTTTTGAGCTGCAGACTCATAGTTTAGCTATGCACAACTCCCCTGAGCATCTCAGTGAAAATGCCTGTTTTCTTAAACCCGATAAGCATTAGTCCCAACTTTTGTGTTTTCTGTGTCATAAATGAAAATCAGTTTAAATGTTTTATTACCTCATGTTATTTTTGGCCTAGGACACCAGGCTGGCTTTGAACTACAATGTAAACATCCTGCATCTATTGTGTGTTTGTAGTGCTTGACTTATTTACTCTACCAGTAGGATATTTTAAAGCAAAGTTGAGAAAAAATAAAGCAAAAAACTTTTAATTAAAGCAGGGAATTAGGAATGTTTTCTTTATTATGTTACTCTTTCTTCAACCCAGCTTCTATGTCCAAAGTTCAAATGAGTCAAGATTGGCAACATTCAGGAGTCAATGAAATTACCCTATATCCAATTCAAAAACAATTTTGGCTGCACCGTAGGAAATCAGTCCAAAGTCATAAAGACTATGAGTTTCTACCTCATTTGCAGGATCTATGTGCAGTTAACACACTTGGCTCTACGTAGCAAATTATGTTATGCTTTTTTTATTTTGCATTTCAACTTGCTGTTTTATATTCATTTGGGCATAAACTGCTCTTATCTACAGAAACATATTTTATTTTAGAAGCAGTGGCTTACATCTGATGAGTTTCCCTGTTTACTGCCCAGCCTAGGAGCCTAGGCTTGGCTGCACACAGACCCGGGTAGTAAGCAGCAGGATGCAAAGAAATAGTGTGAGGTGCTTTTTCATTAATTTTTAAAGAAAGAGGAAGAGAGGGGGAAAGATAGAGAGAGAGAGAGAGAGAGAGAGACAGACAGACATCGATGAAAGAGAAACATCGATCCGCTGCCTCCTGCACCCCCCACTCTTCTACTGGGGATGGAGCCTATAACCAGGGCATGTGCCCTGACTGGAAATCGAACCTGCGACCTCTTGGTGCGTGGGATGACGCTCAACCAACTGAGCCGCACTGGCCACAGCAAGAGTGTGAGGTTGTGTAGTTGGGTATACTTAAGTTCAGATCTTGACTCTGCTATTCAATGAGAGTGGAATTGGGCAAGGTTTTTGACCAATCTGGACCCCTCAGAATAACGAGAGAGAATGTTCATGGCACACAGGAGTCCCTCGGGGCCCATGTGTCCCTCACTCTTAAAACCTCTAGCAGGTCTCAGGGTATTCATTGAGGAAAGGAGGTTTGACTTTGAGGGTCTTCTGACTGAATGGGAGCTGTGTCTGTCTTTAACAGCTTGTGCCTGGTCCCTTTCTCCAGGGCATCCCCCAGCCCAGTCAGGTACTCCCCAGGGACTATTGCTCTGATCCGCATGGATGCAGGCCCAAGAGCTGACTGATCTCTGACTGATGCTGCTCTTCTTCATTTTCATTCCAGTTCATCGATTGGCTATTCAACCTCATGGAAAGTCCTAAGGAAGGCCTCTCTGCGGAACCCAGGGGTCTTTTAAAAGGTATGACTTCTGTGCTTCCTGCCCACTATAGGCGAAAACCTCCCAGTGCTGTCCGCGCTGCGAAACAGCATCTGAGTGGGTGTTGGTTCCTGAAGGGGCTCGTCCTGGTTCAGTTGAACCAGAAAATCGGAGCTGCCACCAGTGTGGCCTTTGGAATTAGAAAGTGGATTTAATTTTTCAGTGCATTTAATTTTTCTTTAGATGGTTTTTAAAATGTTTTATTATAATTGTAAAATATGACTTTAAGCAAAACTTAGAAAATTCATTAAAAGCAAAGAGGAATCCAGAATCCCATTGGCCAGTGATAACTTTGATATTTTTCCGGAGAAGTTTTTGCCCCCTCTGTGTATGTGTTGTTTTAACGTGTTTAAAATTATAAATAATTGAGAAAATACACAGACACTTTGAATACTTCCTTTTATATTTTAAAATTATTTTTTAAAGCATTTAACCTTTTCTTATACTAGCTTCATCCTAGTATGTTTAATGGCTGCCTGGTATTTTGCCAAGGGAGTTGGATATTTCCCAGGTATTTATATGTTTTTTTGTGATTTTTTTATAGTATTCCTCTATTAATTTGTTAAACTATGTTGGGACAACAAACATAGAAGATATTTCTGTGAAAATTATATAGATTTTTTTACTCAAATAGGAGAAGTCTTTTAGGGCTGACTCTGAGGGTGGGTGGGTAGAGGCTGTATCCTGCCAATAGCTGTTGTGGATTCCCGGACATGCTGTAATATACTGCCCTGAAACGGCTCACCTGGGAAGATTGTGTGTTGGCCTAACTTTTTATAATCTATCGGGCCTATCTGGAGGCTAGAGTCATAGTATGACCATATTTTACTTTAAGTATGGTATAATTTATTATTTGCCAAACAAGTGAGAATTTCCTAATGTATTGTGTCTGATTCTTCTCCCTACCCACAAAGAGGGTGGAGGACATGTCTCTAAAGGTGATTCTGATCAGTCACAGAACTTCATTGAGAATAGGGCTGGGGCCTGAAATAGTTCCCCTAGATCCATCCCTAGAGATTTGCTGCTAGGATGTCCTCCATTTGTCTGGACTCATTTGTAATGACCGTGGGTCCATAATACCATAATACTGCCAACATATACTGTCTTAGGTTATGAAGATAGCAAAGAATTGATACTGATGACGAAAAGAGTAATTTGGGTTAAGAAAGTAAATGTTTAGCTCAATTATCTGTTCAAGGGCTTTATTAGAGTCACTCACAATAATATTGTAACTCTGGCTTACCTCCATTCCTTCACACTATTATATTTTAAATAATATCTCAGTATATTCCTATTAGTATTCCAAAATAATATATATGATAAGTTACCTAGAGGTATTACACAGAACTTCCCTATTTTAAGTTGATCCCTGAGGGACCCATGACAGATAAGAAAAGCTGTGGACTTGTGGGGACCTGTTCAAATAGTTTTAGTACAGGTATGCTTGCTCCACTTAGCCCCTGAACCTAACTTTATTATAGGGTCAGTTGGTCTTTGGTTTTGTTTTGTTTTGTTTTTACCTTGTAGTTAAATATTCAGTGTAAAAATAATATAGATTATTTTTAAATAATATTCACGTAGAAAAATACTCAAGTCATAGGTAGGTTTTTATAAAGGAAACACACTTATTTAATAAGCACCCTGATTAAGAAAAAGAATATTACCAGCATCCCTGAAGTCAGTTTTTGTTTTAATTGTGCAGAATTTCCCCTGAACTGGTACCAAAACAAACAAACAAACAAAAAAACTTTCCCCCAAACTTTATTAATGGTTTTCTGCCATTAAAATATTGTCTAAGGCTTGATGGTAATTCTTGGTCTTGAAGATTAGCCAAGTTCCGTCCTGATACTCTTTTGATCTAAAAGACCTTTGCAAATGCAGCTCCACCAAATGCAACAGCGCACTTTGCTTTCTTGTCCCCTTAGCCACCCTGCTGTCCTTAAGAGTTTTCCCAGAGTTTAAGAAGAAAGCAGTATGGACCAGAGCGTATGGCTGGTGAACAGTTTTGCCGTAGCCAGCCACATTCTCAGCCGGAAGAGGAAAACTACGCAAATGGAAGGAATTTTTCAGAATGTGTGTCTGGGACCCCTGAGACGTGATGCATCTCACGGTCATGAGAGGGAGGCCGCATCACTGACGGTTTGAACCCTGAGTGCCAGGAAAGGAGACGCTGCTTCCGTACCCAGGCCAGTGGAGGCTGAAACGAGAACTTGAACTTTCTTTCACTTGGCTAGAGTTCAATCTGAAGATTTTCTTTGTACAACTTTGACTCTATCATTTCCTCTCCCCCAGATTCTAGTAAAATAGTCCCATGAATTTTGTGCATGTGACTTTTATTTGTTTTCAGGCATAGGCTAGGTTCTGCTAACCAAACCCAGCCCTGGTGGTGCCGGAGGCATTACACAGAACTTCCCTATCTTACTAGTAAGTTGATCCCTGAGGGACCCATGACAGATAAGAAAAGCTGTGGGCTTGTGGATGCCTGTTCAAATAGTTTCAGTACTGTGAGCCCCGGACCCTAACTTTATGATAGGGTCAGTTGGTCTTTGGTTTTGTTTTTACCTTTTCATTAAATATTGAATTAAATATCTAATATTCATCTATTTCCCATGAAGCCTCTGGAGGACACCCATTGGCTCAGTAAGTGAGACAGCTTTTCTTATCCTTGTTGGTGAAATACTCTCTCGTAGCCAGACACATTGAAATAATAAGCGTGGCGTTAACCGTGAGCTAAACCAGATCGATGAGTAGCGGCTCTGATTGTCCTGAGCTTGGGGCTTTTGAATGCAAGTGAAAGTTGTCCAATTCAAAATGGCTTCAGGTAAAAAGGAGACTATCATAGTTCACAGACCAGAAGTTAAAGATAGATCTGCTCAGCACAGTAGCATCCAGGGAGTCAGACCGTGCCACCGCGCTTTGTTCCTCTCAGGATCACTCCGCATAGTTGTCAAGACGGCTGCCAGCAGCCTCAGTGGAAGGAAAGGTGTCTTTGCTCACAGGCATGGCAGCAGCCACGTGGGGAGGACTCTGACTCATCTCACGTCACATGTGAGTCCCTGGGAAGTGGGATCCTCTACTTGACCAGGCCTGGTCCACCTGAATTGGGATGCTATGCAAGCAAAAAGTGACAAATACGCCTTGAAAGAGGAATCTATTTTATTAATACAAATCCCTGTCTTAATCAGGACGGCTAGCGGCCTCATGACAAGTAAATGAAGGTACGGTATGTGACCATATCCTCAAGAGTTGCATTTTGCTCAAGGGCTTGAGAATCAGCCAGCATTTTAATTTTGATATTTGCTAACTATCTTTCCTCCATGCAGTTGTTAATCAGGCTTTAATCAGGCTTGCCTTTAGCCAGTCATATAAACATACTGAGGAGGACACCTGTGGATCGCCGGGGAGAAATGTTTGGGTAATGGACTTTGTGTCCAGCATGCTATGGCGCAGTGCCTGCTGCTTTACAGGCACGCGGAACGTTCAGTATTCCCATGGGACAGTCCCTTGATGGTGTCACCAAGTGTACCTACCTACCACTTAGGTTAAAAATAGATCTACTGGTTTTGTTTTTCAAATAGCTGGGTTTATGTTTGCAGGTTTCCAACAGTTGTGTCTCACTGTGTAACTTATACTCTGTTACCAGGTCACAGTTCTTTCTTTTGCTGAACTCCACAGGGTGCTGAGATGCCTACAGAAGGGAAGGCGAGCTCCCAGGTACTATTGACCTGCATTGCCCATATTTCATGGATAATCTTCTTTAGAGCCTGGGCTAGAGGGAAATGAATTTGAAGGAAGCAGAGAGGTAGAAAGTTTATGTTAGAAGCCAGCCTCCCTCTTTTTCCCACCTACATACATTTTCTTAAATCTCCTCCAATGAGAGGTTGAAATTTATCTAATATTTATTGTTAGATGCCGGACTGTTAGTGCGCTAGAGCTTTCACTTGTATGATCTTATTTAACTCTTGCAGCAATACTGTGACGAGGCCTTATTTTCTATTTTTAAATGGAGAAGGCACATCCAATAAGCAGCAGAGCTATGCCTAGAACCAAGCTCCTAGAACCGCAGGTCCAGTGCTCTTTCCACTGCCTCAGGCTCATCAACACTCACTTTAAGATGAAAATTCCCACCAAGGATTACACCTTGGTATTCATGTGCTTATGGTTTAATGTGCTTTATTAAACCGATGGCTTAATATGATTACTGTAGATTTCTGTAATCAGATCGAAGAAGCAATCCTGCCTCCCGTGAGTAAGTCTCTGGAATTGGGACATTTAGGAGCTACGGTGCAAAGGAACAGGTCCTTCGTGGATTGAAGGATTTGAGATTCCCAGAACAGGTTGCTAACCTGGGCGGCAGTAAAGAGCAGTTTGCAGGTTTCACACACTGGTGTTTCACTGTGTAACACTCTGAAGAACTGCTCTGCATTTCCCCCTGAGAGAGAGCTCACCGATGCCCACGGAAAGAGTGAAGAATCTAAACCCCACTTCCTTTTTTGGTTCAGCCCAGTCTCCTCCCATTCAAACTTTGTCCCTGCCCCTGGCTTTGACAAAACAGAAGAGTACAAAGCGGGTAAGATAGACCTTAGTCCACTCCTCCCTGGCTCCCTGTTTTTGTCTCCAGCAGCCTAGAGCAAAAAATGTATGGGATTTTCCCACTCATGGGAACCTCTAAAGAGTCTAAAATGGAAGATTGTAAATTTGATAATCTTAGAAGTTCTAAAATCTCAGCCTTCTAACATATAGGTCACCAGAATAGGTCACTCGGTTCCCCGCCGGACCTCAGGTAAGAATTAAATTATCCTCTTAGGATATTTCACTTCGTTCTCTAGAAACCAGAAGCCTCTGCTTTTTTAGACCAGGTGTCCCAAATATATCCAAAAGGAAAAGTTTCCTTACAGGCCATCTCCGGTTAGTTTTTGAAGTCGTAAGTTGCCAAGACAAGTCGTATGCTGGGACGGATTAACACATTAACGTGTGGGGTTAAAGCCAGGTGTCTCCGAAATGTCCCAACACCCTGGTTCTTGATTTGAAAAGTGTATGCTTGGAGCAGATGTCGGGATTCATGTAAGTGCCTGAAACCTTTGTGTTTTATTTGTAATGCGATGGCTCCATGGTAACTAATAGGCTGTGAATAACCATTTTTTTAAAGTTAATTGCCAGAGTTAACTTTTCTCAAGGCTTTTAACCAAAGATATTGATATTGTGATGGTATAAGGAATAAGACTTTAAGGGCTCAACTAGTATCTTGAAATAACTTAGTCGCTTTGAAAGTAAGCAGTAGTTTTAGATTTCTGGTAAATATTTTGGTAAATTGCTGTTTTAGAAATCAGAACATTTGGTTAAGAAGACGGGCCTTCCTTAAAGCCCGAGTTGTAGGCTACATCTCTGATCAGTTTGTATCTGTGACACAAACCAGCCTATTCTTTTTTTATTTTTAATTGATTCCGAAGAGGAAAGGAAAGGGAGAGAGAAAGATAAAAACATCCATTATGAGAGAGAATCATTGATCGGCTGCCTCCTACATGCCCCTACTTGGGATTGAGCCTGCAACCCAGGCATTTGCCCTGACCAGGAATCGAATCAGGGAATCAAACCAGTAACCTCCTGGTTCATAGGTCGACGCTCGGTCACTGAGCCACACCAGCATGGCGAAACCAGCCTATTCTTAGCTGCAGGATTTCACCTGGAACCACGGGACTGAACGCGGATGGGACGGTTCACATCCCTCGTCTCTCGTGTGGAAACCCCCCCACAGCATCACCTTCATGCATCACCTTCATGTATAAATGCATATCATCGTTGCTCTGGCCTAGGACAAGGTAATATGCTCTTATATTTCCTGGAAGGAAATACTTTATTCAGAATCTGGGAGTTCTTTTAAAATGTATGATACGGGTCATTATTAAGTGCTTAAGTTGGCATGTAATGGATTAATCTTCACAAACAGTACATTTTTTAAAATTGCAGTTTAGAGAGGTTATTCAGTTCTTGTCAGACTTAGAGCACTGGTGAAGTGATGTCCAGCTAAATGACTGAATATGCAACTGAATGAAAATGACAGTGATGGCTCCCTGACTTAGGGTATTCCTTTAATCCAAAGTAGTTGTAGGGGGTTAAGAGAAAGAATACAAAAATGCTTTATAAATTCTAAATTGCAGTGGAGATGCTACCCCTTTTATATGTTTCACTGAAAATAAATAGCAGCTGTGGTGCTTGAATGCAGGCCTGAAGGGTAGTAAATATTGGAGCAGGATTTCAAATCCAGGCCAGTTCTACCTCCGGACTACACCTCCCTCACAGGACCCCACAGTTCAGCTGAATACCACAAAGTGAGTACACAACGGGCACCTATGAGTATCTCATGAATTAAGGGATATGTTTTACGAATTGATTTTCATATAGAATTGACTAACCTTGTTATATTTAAAACACCAGCTACCCTTAGCAAATATATAGTTAACAATTCTTATTTAATATGTTTAAAAACTAGATAAGCATAATTTAATATGTTTAAAAACTAGATAAGCATAAGAACAAAAATGAATGTTAGCCTGAGCTGGTGTGCTAAGTGGTTAGAGCACACTGAAGGGTCTCGTTCAATTCCGGGTCAAGGGCACATACCTGGGTTGCCAGTTTGCTCCCTGCCCCTGGTCAAGGAGCATGTAGGAGGCAACCAGTCTATGTGTCTCTCTTCACACTGATGTATGTATCTCTCTCCCTCTCTCTCTCTCTCTCTCTCTCTCTCTCTCTCTCTCTCTCTTTCCCTCCCTCCCTCTCCCCCTTCCCCTTCCCCTTACCTTCCTTTCACTCTCTGAAAAAATATCCTCAGGTGAGGATTAACAAATGAATGTCATCATCTGTTTTAAAAACAGAACATTGTATGTTGACTTTTATTTAAATAGTTATTAGCAGTTTTCCGTCCAGAGCTGCAGTACATTAGACTCAATAGCAGTGGTTCTCAAACTGCAGCGTGAGGCTCATTTGAGGGGCCTGTCAACATGCAGGTTCCTGGGCCATTACCAATGGCTCTGATTCAGCAGATCTCTAGGGGAAACCAGGGGATCTGCATTCCAAACACGCCCTCTGGTTAACTCTGTGACCATTGCTCCCTGGAATTACTTCGAATAAATGACCTAGAGCAGTGGTCGGCAAACTCATTAGTCAACAGAGCCAAATATCAACAGTACAACGATTGAAATTTCTTTTAAGAGCCAAATTTTTTAAACTTAAACTATATACGTAGGTACATTGTTATTAACTTAATTGGGGTACTCCTAAGCTGGCCTTTGCTAAAAAGTCATCAATATGCCGAAACTGGTTTGGCTCAGTGGATAGAGCGTCGGCCTGCGGACTGAAAGGTCTCGGGTTCGATTCCGGTCAAGGGCATGTACCTGAGTTGCGGGCACATCCCCAGTAGGAGATGTGCAGGAGGCGGCTGATCGATGGTTCTCTCTCATCAATGTTTCTAACTCTCTCTCTCCCTTCCTCTCTGTAAAAAATCAATAAAATATATTTAAAAAAAAAAAAAAGTCATCAATCTGATTGAGGTACGTTTGCTGAGGTCGACCCCTTCCAACTGTCCCATCCACACTCATCTTGTATACTTGTTTCGTCTATCTCCTTTCATTCATCCTCTATATGTCCACCCCCCCACTTCTTCTAACGCCACTTCTTCAAAATAGACTCGCCCAGGCGGAAAACCGACTTCTGCGCATGGGCCACGAAGTTTCAATCACACTGTACGTGCGCGTCCGCACATGGTATTTTGTGGAAGAGCCACACTCAAGGGGCCAAAGAGCCGCATGTGGCTCGCGAGCCACAGTTTGCCGACCACTGACCTAGAGAAAAGTGCCAAATCAAAATTATATATCACTTAGGTCCAGAAGAAGAAAGTAAAATGACAGAAATAAACAAATGAGAGGAAGATGTTGGGCAAAAGGTAAGGTCATTTTTGTTTAAATCACTTCAATACTTTAGCACAATGAAACAAAATGTAACTGTGTTGTCTTTGCACATAAATTTTAAATAAATGTACGTTTCTCCAGATAAATATTTAGATCTTGATGTTATAGCTACTTTAGACACTTCTGGAAAAAAGATTCTTTTATGTGACAATTTGCTCTTCATAGGCAGAGTCTGGTATAGTAAAAAAAAAAAAAAAAAAGTTACCACCTCTCTTAGGGACTTCAGTGAGATGTGGTACCTTCTTTAAAAACAAACTTGGTAAAGGTTTTATCGTGTTGACCTGTGACTGGTACATTGTAGGCACAATATGAGTGTTTCTTGAGTGTACGTAGGCATGTGTACACAGCCGACTCAGGATCAACTCACTCTACTAAGGTGCACCTGTTTATAGAATCAAAAGCTAAGACCAGGATAGGAGTGCTTCTTGACAAGCAGACTACAGTAAGATGAAACTGAACGAAGATGTTGGGAAGAAGTTTGTTATTGCTTTGTATACAACTACTTTGATGAAGGAAAAGTTGAGGACTCTGATATTCCGTGCGAGGGTGTGTGGGTTTCCCTTGTATATTTTAGCAGACTGTTTGCTGAGTGATGGAGTAAATTCTCCACAACAGTGTGATTGGGGGGTAGTTTTATTGTTGGTTTTTTGGCACCAGAGACACTGTTGTTGTGATTACTATTTCTTTGCTTAAGTTATTAGAACTTCAGGTAATTCACTTGGCATTTGAAACTCCAAAGATCATTTAGAAGTCATATCTTATGCTTTCAAAATACCAAATGGTTCTTACATTAGAGAAACTCTTTCACCACACTGAACAAAACACAATGGAGATTTGATGGACACAGTTAAAACTTCTCAATCTTGATAACAGCCAATTAATTAGATGGTTACTCTCTTGGTTTCTTAACCTGGGGAACATGAGCTTGAGTGGAAGAAGAAAGCACATCCTTATTTTCACTAATCTCTAGTGAAATTCAGTATTTCAATTTTAATATAAGTAACCAACCACAATAATACTAACAATTGTCACCATAGGAAATTACAGTATGTTACAAATCTTTTTATGTTACAAATGCTGCAGATATCTCAAATTATTGTCAATCCTTATTTCTGTTTAAAAATTACCATAATTATAAATTTACTTGTTTCTTTTTGGTCTTCTGTTTTAAGAAGTAGGAAGGTTCTTCAGATAATTTGCGTTAAAAATTAAAGTGTTATTTAGTAATGAAATTTTAATTTCTTGTAATGACCCAATAAAGTATAGTTTCGCTAGTTCTTTATCTTCATTTTAGTGATTCTAGATGTATATTTCAGCAATATATGTGGCCATCTTTATTGGGAGGGAGCTAGACTAAGTCACCTACAGTTTGTAAAGAGAATATTTGCACACTAAAGTTTTCAGGAACTTTTAATTTAGAAGTAAAATAAGCAACTTTAAAAGCAAAATAAATGTAGCTTTAAAAGGATAGTCTTAATACTTAAAGATATCAAGTTATCTTTTAATGCTTGATTGTTTTATTTAATGGTGTAAAATTATTATTTTTTTGTAAATACATTTTTACTACCTGGTTTTTATGTAACAAAATATTAAGTACCCTTTTTATATAGTTGCTGGATAATAAGATTCTATAATTCTTCCAAGAAAAGCAAATGATATTCCAGTGATTCAGAAATTATTCCATTAATCAGTTATATTTTAAATCTTCAAAGGATCAATTTTCAAAGCTATAAGTGATGACTTATAACGTTAGAGTAATTAATAATAGTAATTCAGTAATAAATGATATGAAACATGACTAGTTCTTAATTTTCTTAGCTTTTATCTGTGTAAGGTATATGTGACCTGTTTTTTTAAAGGAATATGGGGCATTATTTGTGTATTTATCAAAGGTTTATTGTTTGCATCAGGGTCCTGCTTTACAGCATCAAAGCCCAGATAACTTGTGTAATACTAATGGTCTTTCGGGGTTGGGAAAATGGTTTCCTTTTGTAAGTGTGTCTGACGAGTGTTACCTCTGGGAACGGTGACATCTACAAAATGTTACTGTGGACACTGCAGACCATACTTCACAGCGCTCCCTCCTGTGGATCTGCTGCTACAGGGGAATTCGGAAGTGAAAAGAAATAGATGTGGTTTAACAACGTTGGTCTCTCAGGTTAATTGAATCTACGCCAGTTAATCTACTTCTCATTACCCTTACAGGAAACTATCAGGCTTCATACAATATAAACTTAACTTGTATGAAATCCACAGCTTTGGAGAAACAGGTGGTTCAGAGTCTGTGGGTCTCACACGTTATATTTTCAAAACAGGCTGCTGTGAGGTGTCCGGGGAGGAGGTCATTCATGGATTTCTGTCACACGCTCGGTCTTCCCCCACCAGCATGCTTCCTGTGGTGTTTCTGCAGCGGAATTCACAGCCTGTTTTTCCTTATGTCACAGCAGAATGCTGCTCACAGTTTCTTCTTTTTGATGGGAAAGACGCTGAGGACGTCTCTTCTTTCTGAGTAAAGATGACTGTAGGTAAAATACATACCTATCGTGAGAAGGAAATGGTAAAAGTTAGTAAGAGTGATTAACCATTTCTTTGGAACAAACCATAGTTTTAAAATACAGTTAGAGCGCTGCCTGGGAGGCCAGGGCTCAGACTTGGCAGGAGAGATTCGCAGAAGGGAAAGTAAAGCAAACCCCTCCACCTCACCGTTTATTGAAAGGAATTCATTTTTCCCTTTAAGGGAGCTCTCCACGTCCCCTAATGTTTCACATTTGTCTTCTCTTTTGTGTATTGTTCTTATATATTTGATAGTTGTTACCTTCTAGTGATAATCACTATTCTTGGGGATTTGTGATGGTGAGAGCTGGGGAAGCTAAAATTTAATAATGGAAGTCTTTTTCCCTATTTCCTGGGAAATTGACCAAATTTTTTCAACTGTAAGTTTTTGTTACATTTTTCTTACTTGCTAGGAAAGAAACAGATAATAGATATACAGTGGGGCCTTGACTTACGAGTGTTCTGACTAACGAGTTTTTTGAGATACCAGCTGTCTCTCGGCCGATTTTTTGCATTGAGTTGACAGAGTAATTTGAGTTAACGAGCTCCTTAACGAGCTCGGTCTCAGATCGAATTAAACTCATAAGTCAAGGCCCCACTGTAAATGGAAAAATCAGAAATAGGACTGCTTATTTTGACATCTATATTTTTTTAGATACTTGTGTCTATAGTAGAAACTTCTATATTTCATATATAATATAATGCAGTTTCATTTTCTGCTAGTAAAACTGTTCTGGTTCATTTGATCTTGAAAAGAGTATTATAATTTGTAGGTGCTTTACTAACAAGGTCTAACTCATTGTGTCAGGCTTCCTCTTTGTTCTGTCCCATGTTTGTAGACCTTTCTGTTAAGGTTGATGGCAGCACAAAACAGAAACGCCACTTACCTATAAAGAGCATCATGAGATATATTTTCAGCACATATGGGAAGTAGATGGACAGGTCAAAGGGCAGCTTTGTGGAGTAAGTGCCAAATGATTCAAAGTAAGGCAGCGACTGATAGACGGCAAATGCTGTTTAAAGAAAAAAAGAAGGAATCATGGAGGTTTCTCTGCTTAGCTTGCTTTAGAAATACGTATGTATAGGTAGATGTGTCTGCACAATGGAAGGATATTTTGAATTTGATAATGACAGTTTTGTGCTGATTGCTGAATCTTTTAGCTAAAGCTACAGTTTAATATAGAAATATGCTGAATGATTAAACTGGCAAGACCATGACAGCAGTATGACTTGTTGAATTTTTGTCCATCTTATACTTGAGATAATTTACAGTGTTTCTTCAAATGGTACCTCAAAATACCTGTCCCTTTAGCCACAAGTAAGGGTGGGTGACAGATGAACAAACAGAAAATGCAGCATATGTTTTCCTCGTAGAGGAAAACAACACACCTTAGTATAGGAGAGATTCTGAAAAGTTTTGCAATAAGGTAACTGGTTTCAGAAGCAGCCCAAGATGACCTCATAAGAGGATACTAAGCTCACCCGCTCCCAAGAACACATCGAATTACACCTACATTTAGAACAATTTCTCCTGAGAGTCAGCTGAGGGCCAATTGCACAACTAGTAAGAGACCACAGAGAGAAGGTTGGGGGACAACCCAGGACTGGAGGCACCAGTTTGTTTCCCTGACTTGGACAGTGGGTGGGAGTTCTGGCCAACTTGTGGAGCTGCTGTAGCAGGTCCCCAGCCGTCCCTTTGGAGCTAGCTCCGGCAGGAACAGAAGGGTGCCATGTACAGGACAAATTAATCTAGCAAATACTGTAAGGCACTGCTACATGCAACCACTGGGCTACACATGTGTGTGGGGCTCCCCAACCCAGAGAAAGTATATAACTAAACAAGCATTAGAGAGCCCATTGGCAGGGCTGCCCTACCTGGAGAACGTGCAGAACTAGCAGGGCACTGCAGCACTAGCACATGTGCCCTACCAAAAGATGAAAAAATGTTTCCAAAATCATTCTACAAAGCCAGCATAACCGATATTAAAACCACACACACACAAATTACAAAAAATTACAGGCCAATATCCCTGATGAAATGCATACGAAAATTCTCAAAATATTAGCAAACTGAATTCAATAATAAAAAGATTATACACCATGATCAAGTAGGGTTTATACCAGGAATGAAAGGTTCAATATCACAAAAACATCAATAAAACCAAAGATAAAAGTCATATGATTATCAATAAATGCAGAAAATGAATTTGACAAAATCCAACATCCATTTATGAAAAAAAATCTCAAAGTGAGTATAGAAAGGCTATATAGGGCAAGGCCACAGCTAACATCATACATGAGTGAAAAATCTAAGATCAGAAAAAAGACAAGGATGCCCACTCTCACCACTGTTATTCAATATATATTGGAAATCCTAGTACTCTGACAAGAAAAGGAAATAAAAGGCATCCAAGTTGGAAAGGAAGAAGTAAAACTCACTATTTACAGATGACATGATGCTATAAATATAGAAAACCCTAAAGAATCCATTGAAAAATTAATAGAATGAATTAAGAAGCAGGATACAAAATGAATGTACAGAAATTTGTCATGTTTCTATACACTAATAACAATCAGAAGGAGAAATTTAAAAATCCATTTGCTAGTGATGCTCAACATCACTAGTTATAAAGGAAATGAAAATCAAAACTACAATGAGATGCCACCTCATACCTGTTAGAAATAACGAGTGTTAGAGATGGAGAAAAGGAAAATTTATACACTGCTGATGGGAATGTAAATTGGTGCAGCCACTGTGGAAAACAGTATGACAGTTCCTAAAAGAAATTGATAGCTACCTTATCAATCCCTCTTCTGGGAATCTACCTGAAATTTTTGAAAACATTTATAACCATACATACCCCTACATTCATTGTAGCATTATTCACAATAGTCAAGACAGGTAAACAACCTAAGTGTCCTTCAATGGATAATTAGATAAAGAAGATATGGTACATCTATACAATGGAATAGTATTCATTCATAAAAGGTGAAATACTACCATTTGTGACAATGATGGATCTTGAGAATATTGTGCTAAGTGAAAAGTGAGATGTAAAAATGACAGGAAATGTGATTTACTCATTTGTGGGATATAAAATAAAAAATTTTAAAAAGCCATACTCACAGATACTGATAACAGAATGGTAGTTACCAGAAGGAGGAGGGGGGGTGGGATGACAAAGAGGTTAAATGGAGTCAAATATATGGTAATGGAAGGAGGCTAGACTCGGGGGTAGGTGAGCACACAATAGAGTATACAGATGTCATAAAGTTGTACACCCAATATTTGTACAACCAAAATTTATATAAAGTTATTAATCAATGTAACCCCAATTAATTAAAAACAAAAAAAAAACAGTGTCAGCCAAAATGAGGAGACAGAGAAACTTGTTCAAAATGAAAGAACTGAAAAAAAAAAATGAAAGAACTGGACAAAACTCCAGTAAAGGTGCTAAATGAAATGGAGATGAGCATGATACCAGATAAAGAGAACGTCAACAAAGAGATAAAAAATATTTTTAAAGTACCTTTTAGAACTGAAGAAAGTAATAAGTGAAATGAAAACTAGACTAGAATAAATAAGCATCAGATTAGATGAAGCAGAGGATCAAATCAGCTACCTGAAAGACAAGGTAGTAGAACACATCCAATCAGAAGATCTAAAAGAAAGAATTTTAGAAAAAGGATAGTTTAAGGGACCTCTGGGACGACATAGAGCACATCAACATTCACATCACAGGGCGCCCAGAAGGAGAAGAGAGAGACACCAAGATTGAAAACCTACTTGAAGAAATGATGACAGAAAATTTCATTCATGTGGTGAAGGAAAAATACACACAAGTCCAGGAAGCACAAAAAGTCCCAAAGAGGCTGACACCAAGATAAATCATGATTAAAATGCCAAAGGTTAGCCCTAGCTGATTTGGTTCAGTGGATAGAGCATCAGCCTGGAGACAGAAAAGTCCTGGGTTTTAGACTCCAGTCAAGCGCACATGCCCAGGTTGCAGGCTTGATCCTTAGTAGGGGCATGCAGGAGGCAGCTGATCAATGATTCTCTCTCATCATTAATGTTTCTACCTCTCTCTCCCTCTCCCTCTCTGAAATCAATAAAAATTAACAATAAAATGCCAAAGGTTAAAGACAGAGAATCTTAACAGTATCAGGAGAAATGCAGCTAGTTATATGCAAGGGAGCTCCCATAGGAAAACTAGCAGATTTTTCAATAGACTTTTCAGGCCAGAAGGAAATAGCGTAAAACATTCAAAGTGATGAACGGGGGACAATTTACAACCAAGATTACTCTACTCAGCAAGGTTATAATTTAGAATCGAAAGAGAGAGAACGTTTTCCAGACAAGCAAAAGCTAAAGGATTTCATCACTACTAAACCAACATTACAAGAAATATTAAAGGGACTTCTTTAAGTAGAAAAGGTCAAAACTAAAAAGAAAATACAGGAAATGAAAAATCTCACTGACAAAGACAAATACTTAGTAAAGGTAGTGGATCAACCTATTATAAAGCTAGAATGAAGATTAAAGGCAAAAGTAGGAAGAATATGCACAAATACAATAATAAATTAAGGGATACACACAAACACATATAAAAGAGGTAAAAAAATGACAAAACAAATGGAGTATCAGAAAAAAAATGCCTTTTTAGAATGTGTTCTAAAAGCAACCATCAACTTAAAGCAGTGGTTCTCAACCTTGGCTGCACATTAGAATCACCTGGGAATCTTTTTAAAATCCTGATTTCTGGGCCTCATCCTCCGGAAATTCTATTTCTTTGTTATGGGTTGGGCCCACAACAATTAGTTACCAAAGAAACAGATTTCCAGAGGATGAGGCCCAGAAATAAAGGATTTTAAAAAAGATTCCCAGGTGATTCTAATGTACAGCCAAGGTTGAGAACCACTGACTTAAAGCATCCTGTTCTATATTAAGCACATGGTAACCACAAACCAAAAATCTATGAGATACACAAAAAATAGAAAAGAATCCAAACATAATACTATACAAAGTCGTAAATATATAAAAGAGAGCAGGAGAAGAAAGGAACAGAAGAACCACAAAAAAAACAAAAAATTAATAAAATGGCAATAATTACATACCTATCAATAATTAAATGTAAATTGACTAAATGCTTTAATCAAAAGACATTGGGTAGCTAAGTAGATAAAATAAGACCTACACACATGCTCCTATACCTCAGATCAAAAGACACACAGAGATAAACTAAACAAATGAAAAATGATATTTTATACAAATGGAAATTTAAAAGCTGGAATAGCAATATTTATATCAGACAAAATAGACTCAAAGGCTATAATAAGGGACAAAGAAGAACATTTTATAATGATAAACAGATCAATCCAACAAGAGAACATAACTCATAAACATCTAAACACCCAATGTAGGTGCACCTAAATATTTTATGCAGATATTGTCAGACATAAAGGGAGAGATCCACAGTAATACAGTAATAGTAGGGGATATTAGCACCCCACTTACATCAATGGATAGATAACCCAGGCAAAATCAATGAGGAAAGTGACCTGAATGAAACATTAGAATGGATGAATTTAATAGACATTTATAGGACATTTCATTCAAAAACAGCAGAATATACATTTTCAAGTGCAGTGGAACATCTAGAATAGGCCACAAAACAAGTCTCAATAAATTTAATAAGTAGAAATCCCATCAAGCATCTTCTCTGATCAAAACAGTATGAAATTAGAAATCAATTACAAGAAGAAAATTGGGGGGGAGGGGACCCACACACACGGAGGCTAAACAACATGCTACTAAATGATGAATGAGTTAACAATGAGATCAAGTAGGAAATCAAAAGGTAGCTTAAAACAAATGAGATGCAAACACAATGACCAAAAATGGAATACAGCAAAAGCAGTTTTAAAAGAGCAATTCATACATCTACCTAAAGAAACAAAAAAAATCTCAAATAATCTAACCTTAACAAAGCCCAAAATGAACAGAAGGAAGATA